GTATTTTATTGATATGTAATAGGCATACGGCTATATGAAGAGAGAATTAAGAGTAGGGCGGGAGGTCATTCCAGACATCCCAAGTCTCCCAGAAGTTTTGCGATGCTCGCGCAAATGCACAGAGACTCCCGGATGCCTACAAACACGTCAAAAGACACGTCATGCGCACCCTGTCTAACACCACCAAACCACTACCGTCCCCCTGACAGCTGAGCGGGAGTCTGCAAAATGAACCATGTAACTCTGACCAATGTGAGGAGAGTTTACACACACATGACTTGTTTTAGCTCTTTTGGTCCGTTTAGAAACTTTCCCGTGTGAAAGTGAACCGCACCAAGAACAAAGAGCAACAATGTAACAATTTTAAACAACTGAATCGATTCACAGCACCCTTGCTGTCATGCTTCCCTATTTTAATTTATGGCGATGAGCAATAAGACATTATAAGCGGAAAGGTGCGCTTTCATTTTGAATGGTGACGCCCACAGATGTCGTCACCAGATATAAATCAGAGGTAAGACTCTCCAGTGTTTCCTCTAGGATTTTTTCCAGCTGTGGCGGCAGGCCTTTTTTACACAGATCTACCAACTACCTGTGGCGTTTTTTCAATGACAAAAGTCAAGATCGCATTTATCTAATGGCCGAGCATGCAAATCTCTTTGCTTGCGCGCCGATTTCCTCTGCTCGTGCACAAAACTTCTTGCACGCCCTCAAATATACGCTGCTCAAGCGTAGATCTTCTTGTGCGATCTCAAATATATGCTGCTTTAAGTGTAGATCTTCTTGTGCGCTCTCAAATATATGCTGCTCAAGCGTAGATCTTCTTGTGGCTCTCAAATAGACGCTGCTGAAGCGCGATTTAGTGCGTTTATGTAGCAAGTATGACTCCAACATTTATAAGATTTCCTAGGAATATTTATGAATGTCTCCAATAGACCTACAGGGCTGCATTAATGCATCCTGGAGTAAAGTGAAACGGCTATTTGTTGTTTTTGCTGGCCTCATGCATCACTTACATGTCAGTCAGCCAGTCAGTCAGTCAGTCAGTCAGTCAGCCAAGCACATAACCTTAAAGGGCCCTATCATACACCCGGCGCAATGTGTCGCAAGGCGCGACACAATACTTGTTTGCTAGTTTCAGCTTGGCGTAAGAGTCGTTTTAAGGCGTTGCGCTACGCTCTTTAAATAGCAAATGCATTTGTGCTCATATATCCGCCCATAAGCGTTCTGGTCTAAAAAGCAAGACGTTCTGAGGCGCACTGCTGGCGCATTGCTATTTTGAGAAACTATTATAGATTTTTCAATAGACCAAAACAAACTCGATCTAAACTCCAGCGCAGAGTTGCACCTCGCTTACACACTGCTCAATACACACAATATGTAGAGCAATACGCAAATATCTTTACATATGAAAAAATTAAAATATTAAGGATATATATAGGATATAATAAGAATATATATAGGATATAAATATGAAGGATTAAAATATTACAAAACATATTATTTTCTAGCCTACATAAATATAAAAAAACACTGCTTTCATGCCTTCTTCATCTCGGGAGGCTTTTTCAGTTCATTCATAACAATTTACTTTTGTATAATGTTTTTATTATTAGCAGTATTATTTATTATATCCATATTTATATTTGTTTTGATAAAAACAAGCTTAGATTTGCCCACCTGCAGGTTTTAGACCATATGGGGGCACAGCATGTGTTTTAGGATATAACTCAGGTTTTTGAACACACTTCGTTATTATTGTTCATTTATTCGTTTGCTGGAAATTACAACTGAATTTAGAAATAGTTTTGTAACAAATATTTGCGCTTATCAACTAAAATTAATTATTTATAGGCTAATTGATGTCTGTGCATAAAGGTTTCCCTATCCACGAGAGCGAAAGTGAAAGTAGATCATTTATCTCTCATTCTCACGCGGTAGATGCTCTGTTTAACTGTTTTCTGTTGAAAAAAAAAACTGTTAACTGTTCGCTTGTAAAATGCTCAGTTTGTCCACTTACACTTACTTTACGTCCTGTAAATAGCAAATGCGCTTGTGGCACGACGCAAGGCTCTTAAAAGGAATGGGAGATGAGACTCTGATTGGTTTATTCTCAAAACACACATATAACTCATTATGAAAATAAACTCAAGCCTTTTAGACCATGCGCCACGGCGCAAAGCGAATTTTCCCGTCCTTAAATTAGAGGACGCCAAAATAGAGCCCAAAGGGTTAAACAATTGACGCACAGCACTACTATGGTTACAGAAAAGTTTGCGTTGTTATAATTCACTTACCTTTTAATACGTTTTGGTGAGATTATCAACTGCTTTAAAAAAAAAAAAAAAACACGACTGAAGGTTTTGAATGAAAAGCTGTAATGTAGCCGTGGCGTGATCAATTTTGGCGTGGCGCCACGCCATGGAAGAATGAATGCAGCGGAACCATGCTCTCTCATGCATAGCCCTTGGCTAGACTGCAGTTCGGTTAATGTTTGCTTTCACTTTCGTATTTAACACGAAATGCACATTTACCGGTAGAATGACCTCCCGCCTTACTCATAATTCTCTCTTCATATAGCTGTACGCCAATTACATATCCATAATACACTGTGATATAGCCGGGCTCGGATATTTTTGCTTTCTCACTACAATCGATCCGCTCCAGAGTTCTTTTCAATCGAGCCGAGATCACCTCATTCTGGCGATCTCGAACCGATTGAATTAGCATGAATCCGAGCACGGTTGCTGGTTTCACATATGCCAAACGAACCACGCTAACTAGGCAAATAAGACAGGTTCTGAAACAATAGTCTAGGAGTGAAAGCATCCTTAATGTTTTCATAATCCTTAATAAAATAAAATAACGGTTCTCCATCTTTTAAGCATTTTTTCTTCTGTTCTAATTCACAAGGGTGAAGTAAAACAACATCAGTACATCACACTATAGCCTAATTTCCAGATCCAATCAAACCCCAGAGGATGAAATCAAGTCCTGTCCTACATCGCTTATTCTAAATATTCCATTTTACCCGTGAATTTATCACATAATTGAAGTCAAATGCTTCGGAAAAGGCAATTTCTTGTTGTCTTTAAGCAGTGGGGTGTGGAAAGAATGAGGGTAGCTCAAGCGGACATTAAAATAATCTGACAGGACCAGGACCAATGAGCCCAGGCTTAAGTGTGTCCCATTTACCTGTAAACTCCCTCGCTCTTTTTCCCAATGAATTATCTGTCTTCATTTCCATTCCTATTACGTGTGGTGTTCATCTTTTTCTGCCCTTCTCTCTCCATTTTCTTCACTGTATAAATCTCCACTCTTTTTTCCAAGCTCTTTCAATTTGTCATTTTCTCTCTCCAGCAGCGTTTCTCCTCAGTGATGAGCAGTAAAACGTCTCCTGGTTTCTGCAGCTGTTGTGCTGAGAGCTCGACTCAGCAGAAAACAGCGCTCTGGAGGACAGCAGCACGACTCAGCGCTTACTCAATCACACACACACAGAGCCCCATAGACTCATACAAACACACACATGAACATAATAGACCCCTAGAAACACACACACACACACACACACACACACACACACACACAAACACACGTGCACTCATGCACAATACTCCTCTGTAGACCCCTAAACACACACGCACAGACAAAGGCACACCCACACACACTCAGTCATTCACACACATAATTATGCATATAATTCTCCATTTTAGACTCCTACAAACACATGCACGCACACACAAACACACACACACATAATATACCCCTATAGACCCCAACAAACACTCTTATGCACATAATACTCCCCTATAGACCCCCGTTAAACACAAACACACACACACACTCTCTCATGCAGATAATACTCCCCTATAGACCCCTTCAAACACAAACACACACACAAAGACACACATACACACACACTGTCTCATGCAGATAATACTTCCCTTTAGACCCCTTCAATCACAAACACACACACACACACACACACACACACACACTCATGCCGATAATACTCCCCTATAGACCCCTTCAAACACAACAAACACACATGCACATAATACTCTCCCCTATAGACCACTACTACCACACACACATTGTCATGCACATATTACTCCCCTATAGACCCCTACAAACAGACACACACTCATGCACATAATACTCCCCTATAGACCCTGACAATCATACACAAAACACACAAACACACACACATGCATGTCATAGACACCCATAGACCCCTACAATGAGATGCATTATACAAACATGCACACACACACACACACACACACACACACACACACACATACACACACACATACACACACACATCATACCCCCCATAGACCCCTACAATCATTCACAACAAACACACACATACACATTATATACACACATATTTGCCTCCACCAATCGCTCGAACCACACAAACACAAACACACACACATTAAACCCTCCTAGACCCATACAGTCATACACATTACACACAAACACAACTTGTACAGTTATTTTTATGAGGACTTTCATTTATTACTGGGAAACACCCATACACTTGCATTCACACACATACTCTACGGACAATTTAGGTCATTCAATTCTTCCATAGCACATGTGTTTGGGTTGTGGGGGAAACCGAAGCACCAAGAAAAAACCCACGCCAACACACGGAGAACATGCAAACTCCACACAGAAATACCCCAAAACCACAAGAAAACAATCTGCAATTTTACATTGTCAAAATCCTTCATTCTGTGTGATTTATGAGCCATTTTGCTTTGCTTTTTGGTCAGTTTGAACAATTGCTTAATACCGCCAATCACAAGAATGAAGCTTTAAAAAACTACCACCACCACCACCACAAAAAAAAAAAAAAAAAAAAATGCTAATAACAATATTTTTCTAACCCTCTCTAGCAAGACATGTGATGCATGTCCCAGGCCTGCATACAGCATGTCCACATGTTAAATAAAACATGCATTCACATCTGCACACCTGAACAGTCATACCTGGAATGGCCCGCTCGGATAAAGCTCAGCGTTAGCTTTCCTCCATTCAGCCCCCTGGTGCCCAGAGAGAGTCCAGACAGCTGAGTCCACAATGGCGATGCTGGTCACCCGCATCAGAACATTGAGCGTACCTGCAGAAACACCAAAACAGAGCACCGCTTACAGAAACCGAGATCACAAGCACAGAAAATCCATAATCCCTACTGTAGCAAGTGGGCGTAGCTGAGAGCTGTGGTAACGGGATGAGGCCGGTGCTTAAGTTATAATGTGAAGCCTCGAGTACCACACAGAAGCTGTGGATTACAAAAAGAGGGGAGATAGCAATGGAAAGGCCTGGACACTTCATTTTACTTTTGCTTTCAGTTTGGTGACGGTCTTTTTCAGGAGCTGCCATCTGTTTGTTTTATTTTTCCATTAATAAATCATTTAAAAGTTTTTCAGTGCTCTGCCTCCTCCTTTCTAAAGACCAGTAACTTTATAACACCAACCAATCATACTGGTTATCAATCAAATATTTATGTTCAAAGAAAATCCTCATTACTCAAAAACAATCACTCTCCTGGCATCTCAGAAGAAACTTGAGACTGGTGTTTCATTTAAAGTCCCTGTGATGATATATATTCAGGTTTTTTGTCACTATGATAGTCTTGAAGGTCTCGTGAAAATAAAATAATACTTTTTTAGATTTTAGTATCATTATCTTCATTTTAAGAATATTTAGGGCTCTATTTTGACAATCCAGGTGCAAAGTCCAAAGCGCAGGACGCATTAGGCATGAAGGGCATGTTTGAATAATAATAATAATTATTATTATTATTATTATTATTATTATTATTATTATTATTATTATTATTATATTATATAATAATATAATAATATATTAATATTATTATTATTATTATTATTATTATTATTATTGTTGTTGTTGTTGTTATTGTTATTATCATCATTATTATTATTGTTATTGTTACGTGCCAGCACGTATTGGTTATTTATGGTTGTATTACTATGTGTCTCATTGTGTTTTTCTTTTTATCACTCCAGTTTACTTCCTTGTTTTTGCCTACTGCTGTTCCTGATTGGCTGGTTCACATCCACTTGATGCAACCAATCCTGACACTGCTTTATGCTGATTGGTTCCTCTGTGACAACTCGGTTCCAGTTTCAGCCAATCAGATTACTCCAGCTCACTATATATTTTTTTGTCTGCCAGCAGTTTGACAGTCTTTGTTGGCTCACCTTGTCACTGGTTTTTGTGCTTGTTTGCTCGCTTGATTGAACCTGTGTTTATATCCCCATTTTGTTAAGTATTGTTGTGATATATAGTCCGTCTTATCCTTTATTTACACTGTGTTGTTATTTTGGTTTAGTCACTGTCTGTTCTTACCTGTGTAATCATTCATTCCCTTTCCTCATGTTTCCCTACAGAGGTTTGGTAGAAAGACTGTAGGTAAGTAGGTCACGTGATATACATTTCAACACATAGGAGTTCAACTGTCTAGAGATACACTAGGGAAGGGGGTGAGCGCCAACCCGTGTATTTTTGGTTAAGTGGATAGTTAGTGTAGTTTAGGTAAGACGTCTTGGACGTTGAAGATTTATTTTTCACATTATTGTTTATTAGTCTAGATTAGCGGGGATTTGATATTAGTAAGACTGTTTGGTTTTGATTGTTTCTTTGCTTTAGCGCCACCCATAGCCAGTCTTTCTAATTTAGGTTTTTGTTTTGATTGTGATTTGTAAATATTGTAAATAGCTCACTTACTGCTTCACTTATCACCACTTGTAATAAATCACTTTATTTGCACAGCAATTCTTGTATGTGGTCATTACTTTGAGTTCAATTTTCTTTGAGTGTTTGTTTGAACAAAATCCTTGATCAAGTGTGCAACCCCACTTCCCTAGACTGCCTAGGGGTTGTAACATTATTATTATTATTATTATCATGATTATTTATTTTTCTCAATATATTTTACAATAATAATAATAATAACAATAATAATAAAAATACTAATACTATGATTTATTTTATTGTTGTATAATATTAATAATAATAATTATTATTTTTATTATTCATTCATTTATTCATTCCTTTTCTTTTTGGCTTAATCCCTTTATTAATCCGGGGTCGCCACAGCTGAAAAAACCGCCAACTTATCCACCACTTATTTTACGCCGCGGATGCCTTTTCAGCCGCAACCCATCTCTGGAAAACATCCATACACACTCACACTCATACACTACGGACAATTTAGGCTACCCAATTCACCTGTACTGCACGTCTTTGGACTGTGGGGAAAACCAGAGCACCCGGAGGAAACCCATGCAAACGCAGGGAAAACATGCAAACTCCACACAGAAATGCCAACTGACCCAGCCGAGGCTCGAACCAGCGACCTTCTTGCTGTGAGGCGACAGCACTACCTACTGTGCCGCCTATTATTATTATTATTATTATTATTATTATTACTACTACTATTTATTTTTATTATTATCAGTAATAGTAATATTAATAATAATATTATTATTATTATTATTAATAATAATAATAATAATAACAATAATGGTTTCTGTTGTTGTTATTATTATTATTATTATTATTATTATTATTATTATTATTATTATTACTAGTTCATAAACTACAAAATAAATAATAAAAAAATAATAAAATAAAAATATAAAACAAAATAAAATAAATAAAATAAAATGCTCAGTACTCCACACACATGAATGTTTTCTGTGGGTCTGAGTGCAGCAAGACAAGTACATTTTATAGCGCTTATTATAAATGTCAGTGCTAAAATGTCTGTCACAGACACTGAATACAAACATACACACACACACACTGGGATGATGGAAGGCAGTGGGGCCAAGTGGCACCTTTATGACTCATGCATTAAATGATTACTCTGACTTTGTGCTTAAGGGAAGCTGATATATAATTCAGCTGCACTTTGGAACAGAAAGCGAGACGGGGAGGGAGCCAGAGCAAACTTTTGTAGTGCCTCAAATGAAGCTCTGGCTCTGAACATTAAAACAGACACAGATTCACAAGTGTTGCTAAAACTTTCATCCGTGGAGTCTATGACAAGAACACATAGAAGATAAAAGCAGACGGGTCCAGCCAGCCTTCACATCTTTACTTATTCAGGAACAGCAGATATAAATGAATAACACGCCGGAGAAGTGCTGCACAACAACATTACCAGAGCAAACAGATGGTACTGTGACAAAGTGGCCGACTCCAAGTACAAACCGCATCCTAATAAACTCATGTAAATCTGTCTGAACAACATCAGCAGACAGTGACCGCAAATTCCAGACGCAGCTCTAAATATTGTACTCCTTTGTAAATCCAATGGTTCTGCTTAACTTTCTATTATGATTGTGTAATGCATTGGTTTGTTAATAGATGGTGTTAAGATGTGTTTGGTTGGAGTTGCACGTTGAATGTACTGACACCTGCGAGTATCCTCTCAGGAAGACACAGACGGTTTTATATGGTGTTCGTTTGATGTGTCCACTTGCAACTTTTTGATCCAGACAGGACCAGATACAGCAGACACAAGGCAACAACACACTCTAAGTCTAGGACACTGCTAAGTCTGTGGGCTCTATTTTGACGGTCCATGCGCAAAGCGCAAAACGCAGGGCGCAAAAGTTTTCAGAGCATGTCAGGACGAGTTTTTGCTAATTTAAGGACGGGAAATCTGCCTTGCGCCGTGGCGCATGGTCTAAAAGGGTTGAGTTTATTTTCTTAATGAGTTATAAGTGTGTTTTGAGAATAAACCAATTAGAGTCTCATCTCCCATTCCCTTTAAGAGTCAGCTGCGTCGCGCCAAGAGCGCATTCGCTATTTACAGCAAATATATATATATATATATCCTATATCCTTAATATAAAATTTTTTTTCATAAGTAAAGATATTTGTCAATTCTCTCTTGTGCGTATTAAGCAGTGTGTAAGCGAGGCACAACTCTGCGCCGGAGTTTAGACCGGGTTAGTTTTGGTCTAATGAAAAATCTATTATAGATTCTCAAAATAGCAACGCGCCAGCGTTCCGCCACAGAATGCCTCCCTTTTTAGACCAAAATGCCTAAACAAATGAGCGCTAATGCATTTGCTATTTAAACAGCATAGCGCAATGCCTCAAAACGACCCTTGCGCCAAGCTGAAACTACCAAAAGACTATTGCGCCGCGCCTTGCGCCACACTGCGCCGGGTGTATGATAGGGCCCTAAGACGTTGAAATTTTGAGCTACACGTAGTTGTAGATGTAAAACCACCATTAATTTTATTATATATATATATATATATATATATATATATATATATATATATATATATATATGGCCAGGTTCCAGCTGATAGAAAGGCAAGAGAGGCCACGGTGTACCCATCTCATGGCTACTTCCAGCAGGATAACACGCCATGTCATAAAGCGTGAATCATCTCAGACTGATTTCTTGAACATAACAATGAGTTTACTGTACTCAATTGGCTTCCACAGTCACCAGAACTCAGTCCAATAGAGCACCTTTGGTATGGGGTGGAATGGGAGATTCGCATCATGGATGTACAGATGACAAATCTGCAGCAACTGTGTGATGCTATCATGTCAATGTGGACCAATATTTATAGTTAATCTAGTTATATAAAATTTCTTTTATTCTAGGCGAAATAAAACAAATAAAACTTTCTCCAGAAGAAAAAAGATTTTAGGGTATACTGTGAAAAATTCATTGTCTTGTAAAAAAATCTTTAAATACAGACCTAAAAAATGTACTTAATGATAAAGTTGCACAAAACTTGCACAAAAACTCCCTAACCCATGATGCAGCACAAAAAGTTTCACCAATCAGAGGGTGCAGTGAGCAAAGTGTATTAAAATATATATTTAGCTCCACCCACAAACATTGAGTCCTCCTACTTTCTCAAAATACATTTATATATACCTACATATTTACAAAAAAAAACCAGTACAAGTCAGAATTATTAGCACCCTTGAATTAACAAGTTATTGTATAACAATGGTTTGTTCTGTAGACTACTGAAAAAAAAATTAGCTTAAAGGGGCTAATAATTTTGTCCCAAAAATGGTTTAAAAAAAATAAAAACTGCTTTATTCTAG